AAAAAACGTGAAATATCACTTTATACCCACTACAATGGCTAAAATAAAAAAGATGACTAGACAATAATAAGAGTTGACAAGGGTTTAGAGAAACTGTAAACTTTATACATCACTGATGGAAAAGTAAAATGACGTAGCCATTTTGGAAAACAATCAAATTGCATTTCCTCAGAAAGTTAAGCATAGACTTAACTCATAAAACCGTTTTAGATATTTTGACATGCTTCCTACTCCCTACCACCTTAATAGACACTTACAGTGAGGCCTGACTACACTATACTAACCATTAATACCAAAACTATAAGAGTCAAGCTTCAATAACCCACTCATGCAGAAGCACAGCTCCAGGGCCTCTAAGCCAGTGATCAGCAAACAGATCACACAAAAATAGATTATAGGGCTGGGGTTGTGGCTCAGTGGTAGAGCACTTGCCTAGCATGTGTAAGGCACTGGGTTTGATTCTCAGCACCGCATAAAAATAAATAAAATAAAGGTCCATCAACAACTGGAAAAAAAACAAAAACAAACAAAAAACAGGGGGCAGACAATATTTGGCCCCAGGCCCTGGTTTGTTCACCCCAGTACTAAGAGAGAAGAAAAACATATATATATAGGGATAAAAGATAATGTTGGGCTGGGGTTGTGGCTCAGCAGTAGAGCACTCACCTAGCATGTGCAAGACCCTGGAATTGATCCTCAGCACCACATAAGAATAAGTAAATAAAATAAAGGTATAAAAAAAGGTAATGTTAAAGCATGGTGCTAAATTATTAGTTGAATGGATTACTGAATCTGTCAGTGTTTTATTAAGTTTGTCAAGTGCTTTTATCCTTATCCAATACAAAATCAGTTTCTGCCACTATCATATCCTTCTTAAGAAATTTCCTGAGCTGGATGCACTGGTGAATGCCTGTAATTCCAGTGGCTAAGACAGGAAGATACCAAGTTCAAAGCCAGCATCAACAACTTAGTGAGACCCTCAGAAATTTAGCAAGACCCTATCTCAAAATAAAAAATGAAAAGGACTAGGGATATAGCTCAGTGGTAAAGTACCCTTGGGTTCAATCCCCAGTACCAAAAACAAAACAAAAAAAAAAAACACAAGTGTCCTGAGATCTTCTCAGGCTGCCAACAGGACAGAAGTTTAAGAGTTGACATTCCTTACATATATTGCTTTTTATTAATTTCACCTGAAAGTCAACATCAAACACTCATGAATTACACATGGAATTCTTATAATTCAAATAATGTTTCCTTTGCTTTTATAATGCCAACATGAATTATTTTGTAGTTTACTATAGTGGCAATAATCTAGAATTATTGCTCATGTGCAGTTCTCCCTACAAAAAATCTGTTTCTAACCCACACTTGCATGTATATTAGTTTTGTCCTAAACCACCCATATTTTCACCCAGCCTTCCTTATGACCATCCTGCAGATGCTTAGCTATGGTTAGTCAGGCTATAACAGTGGCCAAACAGTAAAAACAAGCTACCTCATCTAAGAATACTTCAACAGTGGCCTTGTTAACACAGCTGGCTGTAGCTAATCAACTAATGGAGACAAATACATAAGCATGTGCTATGTAAGATGTCCATTGAGTATTTGGTGGAGGAAAGAAAAGAAGAAAGAAAAATTAAAATGAATGTATGCTTGAAAAAGAACAGTAACACCATTGTTTTTTATGAGAACTCCTTCTTTTTACTTTATTATTCCTTTTTTTTTTTGGTACCAGAGATTGAACCCAAGGGTGCTCTGCCACTGAGTCACATTCCTAGCCCTTTTTAAATTTTATTTTGATACAGGGTGTTAATAAGTTGCTTAGGGCCTCACTAAGTTGCTGAGGCTGGCTCTGAACTCATGATCCTCCTACCTCAGCCTCCTGAGCTGCAGGAATTTCAGGTGTGTGCCCCATGCCCAGCTTTCTCTTCATTTTCATGCCACAGTCATTACTAGCCTCTCTGTAGAAGGTGAATTATTATCCCAATTTTATAAAAAAACTAGAAGTCTTAGTTTTCCCCAGAATCACATAGTAAATTATAGCTAACTCTGGGTAAACTATAGCTAAAGGTTAGAACCTTCTCTCTTAGAACTGTTCTCAATATTTTAGTTTATGCTGGCCCCATCCTTGGGACATTTTGCTGAGGAAGTTCAAGAGTGGCTTTTTGCTTAAACTAAACACTAATCCCATGGTACTAACCACCAAATCCTACTTAGCAGGCAGATGGAGCTTCTGGGGTCAATCTTTCACTTTTTAAACTCAGCATTAACCTAGACTAGAATTGGTACACACAAATATCTTCCAGGATTTTGCCAGCGAAGGTCTTCGCACCCTCATGGTGGCCTACCGAGAGTTGGATGATAAATTCTTCCAGACCTGGAGAAAGAAGCACAATGAGGCGTGTCTGTCTGTGAAAGATAGGGAAATTAAATTATCAACTGTTTATGAAGAGATCGAGAAAGACTTGATGGTGAGTGTGGGGATATTGGGGACAGACTGGGAACAAGGATGGTGGTGGTGGTAGCCAGTAAACTAAGCAAAGGTTCTAAGAGTGCATCCAGAGTATCTACAGGTGTAGGCTGTCTCTGAGAGGAAAGACAGGCAGGCTCAACAGGAAAGCCCACAGTTTTGGGTCAGGGAGGCTGGGTATTGGAATCCAAGCTGATTAGGTATGTACTGGGGTTCTGAACCTTTGTGAAAAGTGCACTGATTGTAATTTTTTTTCTTTCTGGCACTGTTTCTTATCCTGGAGCTTCTCACAAAAACTAAGTAATCTATAAGATCAAGATCCAACTAATAAAATAAATAAATAAATAAATAAATAAAGATCCAACGAATGCACAGATTAAATAGTTCAGAACAAATTGATGGAATAATCAGGACAAGAATATTCATTCATTCAATATATTTATTAAGTGCCTCCTATGTACCAAATTCTGTGCCTATAGCAGTAGAGAAACCAGACAAAAAGCCATCTATATAGTTAGTATGTCAGATGGTGAAAGTGTTACAAGGGAAAATAAAGCCAGGAAGAGGGAGTGTGTTTTGGAGGGGCAGAGGCATTGCTGCTGTTTTAAACAGGGAAGTTACTCTTCACTGTGAAGAGGAGATCTGAGGACCTAAAGAAGGTGGCAAACATTTAGGGGAATGGAATTAATTGTTAAACTTGGTATCTTAGATGTTATGTTGAAGGTTCACTTGATGGTGAGTGGGGGGAGGAGAAGTATGCAGAGAGAAGTGATTTGTGCCCCTTAGATTAGTTCAGTTTGTCTAGCCATTGTTATATGTACACTTTAGTTAATATTACTAGGTATTAAAGAATAAGTTTAATGCCCAAAGTTTTTTAGAAGTAGCAAAATAGTCCCTACATAAATATAATTTTATTAGTTTTTAGGAAGAATTATCTTCTGGGAATGACCTTTGTTAATCCACCTCTTGGAGCTGAGGGTAGTCCTGAACTCAGTCACTGGAATGGTGAAGAGGGAGAAGAGAAAGTGTGAGGGGAAGTGTTCTAAAGTTTTAGATTATAACCATAGATCTATACATGCATTTTTGGTAAAGTACTTGTGTTTATTGTGCACAAAGTTTATACTTTATTTCACAACATCTAAGCTTTCTAAATGTCCTGAGGTGACAGTGTATCATAAAAAGTAGAGCTAGTGAATCAGCCAACTTATAAATATCTTTTTGTTATAATTGATAGAAAAGGTGCATCTTGGTTTTGTTTTATCTTTGGGAAGTGCATATCAGTACTTGTTTATTAGGCTACAGCAGATAGGCAGAAGGAAGCACACAGGGAGAGATGGAATCAAGAGCTCAAGGGTCTACATTTTGATGTGATCCACTGATGTGTATGCATCTCTGACTGAACTATAGGAATACTTTAATTCTGGAAACATGCATTCTTGCTAATATTTTAGTAGTAGAAATCTGATAATGAATGCTCTTAGAAACATGCTTGGTATATTCTGTTGCTTTGTCTTATTTTAAATTGAGCATTAAGAGACTGCATAGTTTTAGTTATAACTCTGCCAATATGTCTATCTAGAGGCCTGTTGCCATTTCTTTCTTCAGTGAAATTTTTGTCCCCAAGAAAGGATTGCAATTTTTTTAACAGATTGAATTGGTATAGTGTATTCTTATTTATCAAAAATACTGATATAGTTTGGGATTTTGAATTGATGAATATTCTTGGATGTGTGGAAAAGCATGATACACACATGACCTCAATCACACAAAATAGGATGTTGTATATGTATATGCATAACATATCCAACTAAGCTGCTTGTGACTTGATGACTTTGCTTTTTGCTTCTGTTTTTCTGTTTCCTGTAATGCACATAATTAATTTTTTAAAAAACAAAAGCTATTTTTTAAAACTCTAAGAAAAAATGTGGTAAGCCAAGCAGCCCTCTGGCTTTGCAAATGAGCTTTTCAGACAGAGTAGTAGCAAGAGGAAAAAAACCCTGACACAGGAGCAGGCCTAACTTGTTAGCTGGCAGCCAGTGTGGCTGGGACAGTATGAGTAAGGAGGAGAGAATTAAAGGACATGCAATGTGACAAGTAGGAATGGGTCATCATAAGCCAATGTAAGAACTCGTGGTAAATATGACGAACCATGGAAGAGTTCAACCAGAGAAGTGCTATAGCTTTTAAAGTCATTAGTCTGATTGCAGTGTTGATTTATACTCTACGACAATAGTACAGGTGAGAGATGATGATGGCTTGAATCAAACAGAAGTAGTAGAAGTGACAAGGAACGGTCAGATTATGTATGGTTTTTAAAAGTAGAGACAACAGATTTTGCTGATGGATTGGACTATTGAGGATGAGAAAAAGAAATGTTAAGAATGACCCTGACATTTCTGACCAATCTGATACAGGCCAGCCCTGCTATAAACAGAAATGACTGACACCAAAGGGAAAATATAGAGATCCCTAATCTCCTTCTACATTCAGTCCTTCTACAGGCCTGGCAGAATCAGTAATTCATCCATCTGTCAGTTCTTCGGGCTTATTCTTGTCTTCGCACTGTTGTGTTATTAGAGAGAAAAAGCATGATGTTGGATCAAGATTCTTTTAATCTAATGTGGAAAAATGTCTTGGAACCCTTAGATATTTCTAATAGGTACAATAGCAAAGTACACCCAAGCCCTTGTAGGGCTGAAGGGAAAACTGGAGTAGGATACAGAGATCCTTCCTTAAGACTTGCCACATTTGAGGACAGGAAGTATGCAGTAAAGCAAGGGAGAAGTGAAGGTGTACTGAGAAACAGATGGTTTAGAAGTAGCACATAACTTCATTAATGACTCAGGCAAATCCCTTCCCTCTCTGGTACCTAACACTAATTTTCTAAATTTGATTTCAATGTGTGGTTGAAAAGTTGTATGTGTAGAGAGGAAAAGTATGCAGAGTGCTATGCCACCAGGATCCTCCAGGACAGAGATAGCTCACTGAAGATAACACTGAAGTGCCAGTTCAGTTGTTGGGTAGCATATAGTGTGCTCTCGCTCGCTCGCTCGCTCTCTCCCTCTCTCTCTTCCTCACTCATTGATCTCTCTGTTCGAAGCTGTTAGGGGCCACAGGCATAGAAGACAAACTGCAAGATGGAGTGCCTGAGACAATCATCACCCTGAACAAAGCCAGAATTAAAATATGGGTTTTAACTGGTGATAAGCAAGGTAAAAGCTCCTAGCCTGCATGACTCTCTTCCTCACCTACTTTAACCATTTCTTTCCTCTTTTTTTCCTTTTTTCTTACCAATTTTCTTGACAAATACCTGTAACTCAAATGAAGTCCCTTCAATGTCTAATTTTGTATACAATTTGCTGAGCATGCACTGTATGCCAGATGCTATATTTTTCAATGAAAACATAGAGATGATCAATCAATCAAACATGACCCCTGTTTCAGCCAGGAACTTAAAAGCTAAAAACTTTATTATCTATTTTTTTTTTATTTTTTGCAGTATTGAACCCAGTATTGGAACCCAGGGCCTCATGTATGCTAGGCAGGTGCTCTTCTACTGAGCTACATTCTCAACACCCCCACACACACACTTTATTTATCTATCTATTTATTTATTTTTTTGAGACAAGGTCTCACTAAATTACCCAGGCTGGCCTCAAACTTGCTATCCTCCTTTCTCAGCCTCCAGAGTAGCTAGGCTAAAAACTTTAAAGTTATCTTTGTACACTCTCTGTTGTCTCCAATATTTTAGCATGTCCCACCAATTCTTCTGAAAAATCCTCTTGACTATGTCATCACTCTAGTTCAACCTTCATCCTCTGTTGTGGTTCTACAAAAATTTCTGAATTAATCTGTCTTTTGCCATTACTAATTTCAGCATGACCTATATACAATCATCAGTTTAATTTTCCTCAAATTTTCAAATTTTATGGTGTTACTCCTCTGCTCAGGGACCTACAGGGATTCTACATTAAAAAGGTCAGATTCTATCTGATCTTCAAGACCTTGAAACTGGATGTGGGGGCACATGCCTATAATTCCAGTGACTTGAGAGGCTGAGGCAAGAAGAATTCAAGTTTAAGGTCAGTCTGGCAATTTAGCAGACCCTGTATCAAAATTTTAAAAAGGCTGTGCATGTGACTCAGTGGTAAAGCACCCCTGGGTTCAATCTCCATTTCTTTAAAAAAAAAAAAAAGAAAAAGAAAGGAAGTTCTTGGTAAACCATTGCTACCTATACAACCTTATCTGCATCCTAATATAACCATCATCTTCAATATGTCCCAAACAAACCAATTCCTACTCTAGGGTCTATGTTTGGGTTGTTTCCCTACTTGAAATACCTTTTCCTTTCCCTAAACACTTTTTTGTCGGGGATAGAGGAGTAGCTTTAGCTTAAAATATTTCTTTTTTATTATTAGCACATTATATTTATACATAATAGTTGGATTCATTTTGTCATAATCATGCATGAATTAAATTTAATTTGTTCCATTTTGGTCTCTGGTACCTCCTCTTCTCCTCCCCTCCTCCCACCCAGTATTTTTCTTCTTCTACCCTGCTGGCCTTCCTTTTATTTATTTACTTTTTTTATTTTTAGTTGGTGCTTTATAGATATACATAAAGGTGAAGTTCACTATTATATGTATATATACACATAGCATAATTTTTTCAAATTCAGTCTGCATTTCCTCCCCTTTCCTGTCCCTCTTTCCTTCCCCTCAATATCCTTCTATTCCACAAATCTTCCCTCTATTCTTATGAATTCAATCCCTCCTCTAGCTTCCCTTCCCCCTCCCCTTATTTTCCTCTAGCTTCCACATATGAGAGAAAGCATTTGACTCTTGATTTTTTGAGTCTGGCTTATTTCACAGCATGATACTCTCCTGATCTATCCATCTACCAGCAAATGCCATAATTTCATTATTTATGGTTGAGCAAAACTCCACTGTGTATACATACCATGTTTTCTTAATCCATTCATCAGGCACCTGGGCTGGTTCCATAACTTGGCTATTGTAAATTGTGCTGATGTGCCTGTCTCATTATAGTGTGCTGATTTTAGTTTTTAGTAAATACTGAGGAGTGGGATAGTTGGATCTATATATAGTGGTTAATATCCCTGTTCTTCTGAGGAATCTCCATATTGCTTTCCAAAATGATTGTACTAATTCACAGTCCCACCAACAATGTGTAAGTGTACCTTTTTTCCCATATCTTCACCAGCATTTATTATTATTTGTATTCTTGATGATTGTCATTCTAACTAGAATTAAGATGGAATCTCAATGTAGTTTTTATTTGCATTTCCCTGATTGCCAGTAATGTTGAAATTTCTTCACACATTTTTTGGTCATTTGTTTTCTTTCTTTCTTTTTGAGAATTATCTATTTAATTATTTTGCCCATTTATTCATTGGATTATTTGGGGTGCTTTGGTTTGCTTTAGTTTGGTGTTAAGCTTTTTGATTTCTTTATATATTCTGGATATTAATCCCCTATCAGAGGAGTAACTGGCAAAGATTTTCTTTTTTTTTTAAATAAATGTTTATTTTTTTTAAAGAGAGAGTGAGAGAGAGGGAAAGAGAAAGAGAATTTTAATATTTATTTTTTAGTATTTGGCGGACACAACATCTTTGTATGTGGTGCTGAGGATCGAACCCGGGCCGCACGCATGCCAGGCGAGTGCCTCCCAACTTGAGCCACATCCCTAGCCCAGGCAAAGATTTTCTCTCATTCTGATGGCTGTCTCTTCATGCTCTTAATCATTTCCTTTGCTGCGCAGAAGCTTTTTAATTTGATGCTATCCCACTTACTGATTCTTGGTTTTATTTCTTGAGCTCTAGGGGTCTTGTTAAGGAAGTTGGTGCCTGTGCCAATATGTTGGGCTGTTAAACCTATGTTTTCTTCTAGAAGTTGAAAAGTTTGGGGCCCAATTCCTAAGTCATTGATCCACTTTGATTTAACTTTTGGGCTAGGTGAGAGATAGGGTTCTAGTTTCATTCTTCTACATATGGATATCCAGTTTTTCCACCACCATTTGTTTAAAAGGTTGTCTTTTCTCTAACATAGATTTTTGGTTCCTCTGTCAAGTATCAGATGACTCTAACTATGTGGGATTGACTCTGTGTCTTCTATTCTATTCCACTGGTCTTCATGTCTATCTTGATGTCAATACTGTGATGTTTTTGTTACTATAGCTCTGTAGTATAATTTGAGATCAGGGATTATGATATTTCCAGCATCACTCTTCTTGCTCAAGATTGTTTTGGCTATTCTGGGTTTTTTATTCTTCCAAATGAATTTAAGACCATTTTTTTCTAGTTCTGTGAAGAATATCATTAGTATTTTGTTGGAGATTGCATTGAATATGTATAACACTTTTTGGTAATGTGGCCATTTTGACAATATTAATTCTGTATATCCAATAACATGGAAGGTCTTTCCATCTTCTAAGGTGGTCTTCATTTTCTTTCTTCAGTGTTCTATAGTTTTTATTTTAGGGGATCTTTCACCTCCTTGGTTAGATTTATTCCCAAGTATTAAAAATATGAAACACTTCACAAATTGGCATGTCATCCTTATGCAGGGTCCATGCTAACTTCTCTGTATCCATCCAATTTTAGTATATGTGCTGCCAAAGCAAGCACCCCTAACACTCTTACTCATCCTTCAAGGCCTTCCTTCAAGAAAGTTCCTGTGACAACTGCAATCTCTCTTCTGAATTTCGATACTACTTGTGGCCAGGGTTCAGGACTTAATTTTTAAAAATGTTTTCCTTTGTATGGATTTATTTCAAATTCCAGGTTTTCTAATGTAAAGAAGGGATACAACTTAAACATGCCTCAGTTCCCCATAAAGTCTAGGATGGAGCTGAATGTGGTGGTACATCCCTATAGTCTCAAGCTAAGGCAAGAGGATCACAACTTTGAAGCTAGCTTGAGCAAATTAGTGAGACCCTGTTTCAAAATTAAATTTTAAAAATTAAAAAGGCTGGGGATACAGCTCAGTGGTACAGTACTCCTGGGTTCAATCCCTAGTACTGCCAAAAAGGGTGGGGGCGATAAATAGGCACAGTCATGTTCTAAGAAATATATCCTGATTGCCTAGAGAAGTGGATACAGACAGATGTTACTTTCAGCAATAGGAAAAGGCTTTCTAGAGAAGGCTAAACCTGAATGGTTCTAGTTATTAATAAATTATTCACAAATCTGTACCAAGTAGACACTCATCTGTCAATGTTTGAATGAGACTTTCACTGATTAATAAAAAATACACTTTGCATCCAAGGCAAATGTAGACAAGTGGAGTTGAAGCTCACTGTTAGTGAGGATATAAACTATACCCTGTGACAACCCTGTCCCAATCTATAAACGCCAGCCAAAATGATATCTGTGTTGCCTTTCCTACAGAAACTGCCGTGAACATTGCCTACTCCTGTAACGTATTTGAGGATGAAATGGATGAGGTATTTGTGATTGAAGGCAAGGACAGTGATACAATTCTGCAAGAACTCAGGTACAGTTTGGAGGGTCACCACAGCCAATCCCTAGATCAAAGATTCCCTACACATCTCTTCCCCCAATGTGAACTCTACAACATCAGAAGGAATAAAGAAGAAATGTAGCAGGGAGGAAAATCTGAATATTTGAGAGAATTTTATAAAGAAGCACTCAGACTAGAGGAGTTGGAGTGTGGAGGATGGAGAAGTGAGGTTCACGGTGCTCAGGAACCTACAGCAGTAGCAGGTCTCAAGAGACAGTCAAGTCTAAGGTCCTGGCCAGTGCTTTGTAGAGTACTTGTACCTTTCTTGACTACTTTCACCATGAGCACATTTTCCTAAGCTCTGACCACTATTCTTGGTTTTTAGGAGAGCAAGGGGAAGGATGAAACCTGAATCTCTACTGGAATCAGACCCAATCAACATTTACCTAAAGAGGAAGTCCAAAAGGTCCTTCACAATGCCTGAGGAGGTGCCCTCTGGCGACTATGGCTTAATCATCAGTGGCTACAGTCTGGTAGGCAATAGTTATAACTCTTCTTCCAAGGAACTCCCTTCCTAGGTTCAACACTCTTCAGGGAAATTTCAAGACCTCTTCCCTATTCTTAGCTGTCCTATTGCCCATCTCTCAGATGCCAATGCCTGAAAGACACCTTTCTCCAAGATATTCTTGGCATGAATAAATGAAGAAAGGAAAGCCAAGAGAAAACTCCTTCTTGACCCAAATTCTTTACTACTGATGTGACCTGTCACTTAGAAGAAACAGGAACCCAGCAGAACCAGACCTCCAAGAAGTCACTTGGCCTCATATAGCCCTATCAACTGATTTGACTTAATGAGAGGCCTGACTAGTTTCCCATTTGAGGCTCAGCCAGAGAATACCTAGAATTGCCTTAGGGGTTTGGCCTTCCTTTGGGGTAGATTACCTTGGGAGCAGCTATGCCTACCCTATGAAAGAAAAGAGTTTGAATGCAAGGGGAGGAAACTCAAAGGTCATTTCTGGGCAGCTTGAAGAGTGGGTATGACTTGGTGTTGCAGGCTTATGCTCTAGAAGGGAACCTGGAGTTGGAACTGCTACGAACAGCGAGCATGTGCAAGGGGGTAATCTGCTGCCGGATGACACCCTTCCAGAAGGCCCAGGTGGTAGAGCTGGTGAAGAGGTACAAGAAGGTGGTGACACTGGCCATCGGGGATGGGGCCAATGACGTCAGCATGATCAAAGGCATGTGAGCGGAAGGGGGGGCATTAGTCCTCAGTCATGACTTGCCTCTTTCTTCCTTCATGGGCAAAATTGATCTGAGTGGCATTGTATTGCTGGCTCATACACCTACCTATTAAGCAGTACACAGTGATAATGTTTTGCAACTCCATTCCTGTTCCTCTACACCTGCATTCCCACTTATTTACACCTGCAGATATTTGCCCATATCCACAGGCATGCAAGTATTCAGATTCATTTACTTAACTATGAATGTAAATACATAGAAACTCATGGCTCCCACAAGAATATGTGTATTCATTCATAAAACAACAAGCTATACAACTACCATACCACCTGAGATGACATCAAGGCCCACAGAAAGAACCCCTGGACAGGAGTCATAGTCTGCTCTTTTTTTGAAGGATGTAGGCTATGAGGCCTAATGCAGCCCAACGCTGTGTTCTCAAGAACTTGCCCTGGCTCCCCTGGCTAGGAGAGAATAGATTAGTGATCACTTTGGACCAATAAAAGCAAATTGCTGAAATTTACTTGTTTTAATTTCAGATGAATATTATTAGCCTCCAGCAGTTTGTTGATCAGGGAGATATGGACAAAATATAGAGGTCCTCTAGTCTCATCTCTTTACCTACACAGGAAACACTAGCAGATATTCCAGCCTCAATTTCAATACTATCAAGTGTTCTCGCTGTCTTAACCAGTTTCTAGAATCACTCTGGTCTTTAGAGGCTGAGATTAAGCAATGCAGTAGGAGGTATATACCATATCAGTAAATTTGACCAGAAGAATAGTGAATTACCACAGACTGATTAAAACTTCTAGGAACTTCAATCTTATATTCCATCAAGTACAATCTTTGCTTTATCCAGAAAAATTCTCCTGAGACCTACTGAAGAGTTTATCTCTCACTGAAAAACTATTGCTCCCAATAGTTCAGGTTTTAGTCCCTTAGGTAAACTTAAATAATTAAATATTATATTAGATCGGCATCCATTTTGCATTCTTAATTGATTTAAGTGACTTCCATAGATAATAAGATATTTAAACCTTAACATCTAGATGTGGGAAAGAGTCTAAAGTGATAGAGTAGAAGCAAAGAATATCTGGGACAACTTTTGAGTTATTACTGGCCATACCAGGCATTCTTGAGTGGCAGCATTCAAAAAAAGTACAGAAAGAGACTGTTTTCCAGGTTGTGGGGGAGGGGCACTCCATTAAGGGGGAAGGGCTCTACTTAAGGAACTGCCTTTTTGAATTGAGCCTGAGTATTTTCCAAAGGTAAAACAAGGGGTTTATGCAACATTATCCAGCATTTCCTTTACATTTCTCAGGGTGGGAGTCTAACAAATAAGTTCTGTGGCTTAGAATCTTCTGGGCTTTCACTGCAGCTGCCCACATTGGGGTCGGCATCAGCGGCCAGGAGGGGATGCAGGCCATGCTCAACAGTGACTTTGCCTTCTCCCAGTTCCGCTACCTTCAACGTCTGCTGTTGGTACATGGCCGCTGGTCTTATAATCGCATGTGCAAATTTCTCAGCTTCTTCTTTTATAAGAATTTTGTCTTCACCTTGGTGCACTTCTGGTATGCTTTTTTCAACGGATTCTCTGCACAGGTAGGAGTTCATTGGGGATGGGGCCAATGATGTCAGCATGATCAAAGGCATGTGACCCTAATCATCTTGGTCTTCTCTAATCACTCACACTTTAACAAGCTCAGACCTTTTTCTACCTCTAGAGACCAATGTATGACACACTGCCATCCATCCATAGCTTTATGCCAACCCATAAAGCTTTTCACCCCACATTGATCCCATCTCCCAACCCTGCACTAATTGTAGATTTCCAAACCGTAAACATTCTGGCTTAGCTCTGTTCTTAATACCTACCTTCAGAAATCTTCCTAATAAGTTAGTTTCACTTGTTCTTTAACATTGGCATTAGAATTTCCAAACACATGTGATGGGAAGTATTGATGGACCTAGAATTTTTCTTAGCATCCAAAATATCCTTATGGAATAGGCTAAGGCCTCTGGGTCCTGCCAGACAAGCTATTCTGACATTCACTACAGCTTCCCTTTACTTCTCCTTCTCTACCCTGATTGCCTGCACCCCTGTCCCAAACACACACACACACACACACACACACACACACACACACACACACACAGTTGCTGCTTGGGTGAATTAATTCCTCATTTGAAATATGAAATTTCCACAACCATTCTGGGGAAAAGTGACACCTGAATTTTGATGTTTTAAGAGTAGTCCCCTTCCTATAAGTTTTTCAGGAGTCTGTCAAGATTACCAAAAGAAACTACCTCAGAAATGACCAGTTAGCCAGTTAGCAGACTGTGGACTGTGGGAGACTGTATACCCTCAGGGCCTAGCCAAGCCAATCTGGTTTTGTGTGTGTATGTGCTACATGTGTAGCTGCTGACCTCTTGTGGATAGTAAGGAAAGAGTTCCTTTCTAGTTCCCAGAATGGAACACCCAGCTGTAGAAGGTTAGATGAGTCTATTCCCTTTGCCAGTGTCAGATGTCCAGTGCTACAGAAGCCATTGAAGCCATATAAGGCAGAAAAAGAAAACAGCCTAAAGGTTTACTTGCCTGGTAGTGCATGGGTGTGGCTCCACTCTTGAGTCCTTTCTCTGCAGGAAGGAGCAGAGCAGGTTATGGTGCAGATCAGCATTGAAAGCTTGATGTGGCCTGGCACCAGCCTTGGACAGAGGGTTCTACATACAGTAGGATCAAATAAAAAATTGGAGCTCTCAGTCAAATTCTGAAATCCATACTAACTCTGGGTTAGTATGGTGGTGACTAAGGCAGCCAGGGGAGGGCTATCTTGGGCCTGGGAGGTGGAGGTGGGACTTTGGAGGAGAGAGGAGAATTTAAAAATCTCCTTGGTATTCTTCCAGGCAGTCTATGATACCTGGTTTATCACCTGCTACAATTTGATTTACACCTCCCTCCCTGTCCTGGGCTTGAGTCTATTTGATCAGGTAAGACCAGCAGCAAGCCTCTCAGTCAGGGTTGAAGCCCCTGAACCCTTGGGGAATATTCCCAAGAGTGGGGAAAAGAGCAAGAACTGAACTCAACAAAATTAACTGTAAAGAAAATAATTTCTAGAGCAAGTAAAAAGGAGCTTATTACCTGGAATAGGTATCATGAGAAAAAGAAAAAATCCTCCTGCACTGAAAATAATCACCAGGTTTTAAAAGTCAGGTTTTCCTGTCTCAACTTTATCTTTAGAGAGAGAAACATGGAAATTATGCTGTATAGTACATTGAGTGTATCCAAAAGTAGTAAAATGAAAGAGAGCTATTGGATCAGGACTGGGTAAAGCAAGGGGCTTCAAGAAAGGGGATTCCCTAGCAGGGGGTGGTGGTACATGCCGGTAATCCCAGCAGCTTGTAGGCTGAAACAGGAGGATCTCAAGTTCAAAGCCAGCTTCATCAACTTAGTGAGGCCCTAAGCAACTTAATGAGACCATCTCAAAATAAAAATTAAGGAAAGAACTAGGGATGTGACTCAGTGGTTGAGTGCCTCTGGGTTCAATCCCTCATACCAAAAACAAAAAAACAAAGATGATTACCATTTCGAGATGATGAGGATGAGCTAAGCCAAGCAGGAAAGACTAGGTGGGGAGTTCTAAGGAACAAGCATGGGAGCATGTGTATTCCATGCATCACAGGGAGCTAGACCAGGATATACCCTTTGTCCCTCTCAGAAATTTTCTGCATGTTGAGGGTCCTAGTACCCCTTCCCCCTCCTCTTCTATGCCAGTCTCAACTCCTGAGCACCACAGTAGACAAGGAGCATCCAAAGAGTTGTAAAACAACTGAAATAGGACATCATGGAATCATGGTTCCCAGTCTCCATCAGGGTAGTAGCGCTGAAAGAAATTCTACATGAAGTAGTTGCCAAACCTCAGAAAGACAAGAGGGATAGATTGTGTTACTCAGTAGTACTATCCTGCTTCGATGATCTAGTTCCAGTCATCTACCACTGAAGCCATGCCCCAAGTTTTGAATTTCAAGTTTCATATTTGGAAGATGAAGACAAGCCAGCATCATTCATACAGAGAATTCTCCCACCTTGAGTTCATCAGTAGCTATGGGAGGGAATAGGAAGAACATCATGAACAAGGATGTTTCCAAAGGACTAACTAGTCCCCCATTGGCTTCCTGTTCTTTACCCATTAGCTTTTAACACACACACACAAAAAAAAATAACAAAATCAATAAATGGCAAGGAACTGAACAGACACTTCTCCAAAGATGATATACAATCAAAAAAAAAAAAAAAAAAAAACTAAAGGAACACTTACATTTGGGGACCCATGTTTTAATGCCATCCCCATTCCATTCCAAGCTCCAGTCCTCCCTTCCAGCTACCCCCAAACCAAACTCCCTTTCACAATTCTCTAATCCTGAATGCCTCCAAGTGCTTCTCACCATCCTGACCTTCTCCTAGCTTCCTTCTACTACCTTGATCCTTGCCTAGAGAGGAGGACTTCAGGAAGGGTCTGTGGTCGCTGCCCTGTTCTCTGGTTCCACTTCTCAAGTACTCCATGAGGAAGCTCCTAGGCAGCCTGGCAGCAGACACAATGAGGGGAGACACCTCTACTCTGATGGAGATGGGACCTTCTATGGAGAGACTCTGAGCCTTCCTCCTTCCCTCTGGTATTTCCAGGATGTGAATGAAACTTGGAGCCTACATTTCCCAGAGCTGTATATCCCAGGCCAGCACAACCTCTATTTCAACAAGAAGGAATTTGTGAAGTGTTTATTACACGGGATCTACAGTTCCTTTGTGCTGTTCTTTGTCCCCATGGGAACAATTTACAACTCAGCACGCAGTGATGGAAAGGACATCTCCGACATCCAGACCTTTTGCCTGCTAGTACAAACCTCCTTGATCTGGGTGGTCACAGTGCAGGTGTGGCCAGTAGCAGTGGGAATGAGGGGATTGGATGGGGAGCTGTCTAGAAGGACAGGGAGGTAAGGAGGGGGGGAGACAGAAACGAGCATCCTCCATCACAGAATTGGAGAAGGGAGGTGGCTAACAGAGAGAGCAGGTTATAGAGTATTGCACATAACCTAGTGCTTTTCAGATTGCCCTGCAGACAACCTACTGGACGATGATAAGCCACTTCGTCATCTGGGGTAGCCTGGGTTTCTACTTTTGCATCTTATTCTTCCTGTACAGTGATGGCTTGTGTCTAATGTTCCCCACCATCTTTCAATTCCTAGGTAAGACCCTGGCCAGTAGGTGGGGGAGGTACCAAGTATATTTATTAAATAAATGTTAGTATACTGAGAGGCTATTACTATGCGCTAAACTCTGTGGATAAAGAGATAAGAAATGATCTCTAACCTAAAGGGACTCAAAATCTAGGTAGGACTACCTAGATAGGATTCAAAGATATTTTACCTTAGAGTTTCCATGATTTTTTTTTTCAAATATCTAGTTTGATCTTCACGGGAATGCTATGATGTAGGCAGGGCAAGAATTATTAGCACCATTTTGGAGACTGGAGGTTTTTTTCAATTAAATGACTCAATATAGGTCTCCTGATTCCAGTCAACATCCTTTATACTGTAGCATTACTGCCGTATTGTCTCCTGTATTCATTTCTCTCTGTCTCAAGTCCACTTCATGAGGATAAAATACAGAAAGAGTAGCCAAATAGATGTCCTTGGCTTCTATCTCTTGTCAGGCCACTAACTTTTCTCCTCTAAAGCTTTCTGTCCCATTTTTGTATACAAGCCAATGTACTAGGATTCCCCATTACCTACCCCCACTCTCCTGCCTGCCCGGCCTGTAGAGGGAGACAAAAGTATGCAAATTCACAGTGACTGGCGGCACAAAGGACCCAAGTGCAATTATTTTGCATTTATATCATTCCTCAGGAGACCAGACTGTCTCCAATAACAGACTTCTTTGGACTAGAGAGGTATCTAAGTTCTGGCTAATACTGCCCACTCCTAACCTCTCCCCTTTCTCCAGACTGTTTGCCTTACCCCTCCTTGCTCATTGTGTACAGGTGTGGCTAGGAACACTATGAACCAGTCACAATTGTGGCTGGGCCTTATCCTCAGTGTGATCCTCTGTATAATTCCTGCATTTGGGTACCAGTTTCTCCAACCACTAATTTGGCCTCTCAGTGTGGACAAGGTAAGTGGAACAGGGAGCCTACCCAGATATGATTTATTATCCTTTTCCCCTTTGCCTTTGTGAATAAAACCCCATCCCCCATGCTCTGGATACAGGTTTTGGACACAATTCATTATGGCAAGATACCGCCACCACAAGTTCAAGTCCGGACCAAAGTGAAACACCCAGGCCTGCGACGTTCTGCCTATGCATTCTCCCACAAACAGGGCTTTGGGGCCCTCATCACTTCTGGAAAGACAACAAAGGCCAAGAAAAACAGCTTTCCTCTTAAAAAGTAGAAGCCCTTAAGGAAACCCAAAAACAGTCAGTTATTGTTCTTCCTCCCTTGTATACATGCAATTTAGAAAGGAGGGATTAGAGTCCCTGGGAACAGCATAAACCTGCTCCTCCACTCTCAGGACTGGGACTCAGCCTCTTCATTCCCCAGAAAGGCTGTGCCCAGGTAAGGCAAGAAGTAAGGAAAGAGTCCTCAGATATCTGCCAGAGTTGTAGCATTTCAAGAAAAATCAATCTCAGGCTTCCCTTCCACCATCCCTCTCAAGTTTTAATCCAGAAAAGCAAATGTGGAAGTAGAGGTGGTAGAGGGACAGTGCAGGGAAGGAGAAAAAGAAGACAGGACCTAAGAATCTTACTTTGGACCCTATCTCCCATACCCAGAGCATAACCTTCCCAGGGGCCCATAGGAACATATTTCCATCCTAGCACTCTTCTTAGGTTTATTTGGGAGATTTAGAGAGAGTATTTTGATGGCCCTGGTAGCAAAAGTGGGAGGCAGCTTTGGAGAGTTGGTCTTGAGAAGCCAAAGGAGTTTCTGGACCCCAAAAAAAGATGTGGTTCTTGCCGGGATAAGTTGCTGAAGATTTTGCTTTCTTCCCCTCTCTTTTGACCTCTTTGACCCAAGAACCGATGCATGATCAGACCTCAGAACCAGGATGGGAAAAATGGAGAGGATTTTTTTAGACTTATGTCTTAGGGGGATATAACCATAATTGGTGAGCATCTGTCTTCATTCCATAAAATTATTTTGAGAAGAAATTGTATATATTTGGAATATTGTTTCTAAGAAGTTTATGGTAAAATAAATTGCATATTTTTGAGTGAAGAGATTTGTGTGGCTTATTGGGGTCCAAGTGATAATAATATAGTCTGAGCAATATCATTTTCCCACAAACCCCTCACCTTTTTCCCCCTTCAAATTAGACCAACCTATTCCCTCTTGGCTATCTCCCCTTTTTTTCAGTTCCACTTTTCTGCCCTGTCTTGCTAAACTCTATCTTTGCTTCAGGTGACCACACCTTTTATCTCTATAGTGTTTTCCTCTTTGCATTCCTTAAATATTGGTTCCTAAAGCTCGATCATAGGTTCTCTGCTCATTTTTCCCTGTACCCCTTTTCTTAGTGACTTTGTCCAAACTCTTGCCTTCATTTACCAACAGAAAGATGGTAGCCCTCATCTCTCTGGGGAGGTATAGATCCATATATTAAATCAACTCTGAGATCTTTCACTTAGCTGAGGCTTTGGAAGCATAAATTCAAACCTGCTCAACCTGATCATTTTCCCCCAGATTTTAAAAGGATGCCACCACCATCATTCTAGTGATCCAAAGCAGATAGATGGGAATCTTCCTTTACTTCTTCCTCTAGATTGATGTCCAGTCAGTAATCGAGTCATGTAAATTCTCTATCCTTATTTCTTGTTTTCTCTTCCCTTCCACTATTGCTATCATTGCCTTTGCTCAGACTTTCATCACCTCTTAACTTGGATTCTGGCATAAAATCTCCAACTTAATTTACCTGATTCTTTCCCTTCAACAGCATCAATAATACTATTTCCAGAGTAATCTTTCTGAAAGGAAAATTGTCATGTCAAGCTCCAGTTACCATCCTTTGAGGACTCCCCAAGCTTTCTAGGTCAAGTTAAAGTGTGGACACTTTATTATTGGGCCCCCTCTAGCCCTGTCTTCCATGACTAGTCATGAATTTGTGGTCTTCATGTCATAAAATATACTGTTCTCGTATTCTAAAATGCTTTCCCCCACTCCTTTCTTTATCTAGTGAATTTTTAGTTATCCTTCAAATTCAGGTTATTTGGAATTAAGAGAAAGATGATGTTTGATGCCACTCAATATATTAAGCACCACTGAATTGTATACTTTTAAAAGGTTAATTTTATGCATTGCTCACCTCAATTTTTTAAAAAAAGGCTCAGATTAGGCATCTCTTCCAGGAGGTTTTCCTAATTCTTTAATGTGGTTTATATGCTTGCCCTATGTACTCAATTACTTCTCTATACATACCTCTATCAGACATACTTGTTAGAAGGCATTATAATCATTGATTTTCTTTCTAGACCCAGCATACACTAAATCTTTAATAAATGTCTGTTGAATGAATGAAAGAATATTGAAGTCTTCTGCTTCTCTACCTGTATGTCTTATTTTCATAAATAGCAACACTACCCAAGAGCTCAAACCAGAAACTTGGAAGTTGTGCTGGACTCTTCTCCACTATTCCTCTAACCCAAATCTACTCAGTAAGTTCCAGATTCTGAATCAGAAACGTCTTCATTTTTTTTCCTTTCTCCCATCCAAGAACTAATTAGTCCCAACCCCACTTAGTTTCCAAGATTGGGTACATTCAGTGTGGTATGGCTATAGACAATTTTTCCCTTTCTTATTCTTAATCCTGCTGCTCTCACTATAGCAACATCTGCTATGGTATGAGTGGGTATGTGTGGGACACTGAGGATTGAACCCAGGGACACTTTATCACTTTATCATTCTTGCCATACCACATCATTTCAGAACTAAAGGTTCCATCATCTTCAGAAGCATCTATGGCTTGGCTCTTTCTGTTCTCTCTCCATACTTTCATCCCTTCTTTGTTTAAAATCTGCTCTTAACTCAGATTGGGTCACTTCTTCCAGGAAAATAACACAATCTCATATTCTGAGTTAACTGCCTCTTTCTTGTGCGAGAGTACCTTGCACCTTTCCTTTCTTTCCATTTTCCAAAGTTTGAATATTTGATCATTCATAGGCCCCTTTTAATTATGGCTTACTTCTCTGCCTTCTCTGCTAGACCATTTTGAATGACCATATTTTTTAGGGCAATAATATTCTCATTCATTCTCTCTCTCTAAGCAGAAATGCTAGCACTTAGATTTTTATGTTTTTCAGTGAATGATATCTACTACCTTTTATTTTTCTTAAACTTGCTTCTTTTTTTTTAAAGAGAGAGAGAGAGAGAGAGAGAGAGAGAGAGAGAGAGAGAATTTTTATGATACATAATTATTAATGGTCTTCCAACTAAGGCATCTGTAAAAATACAGTTTGGACCAGTAATATCCCCCAAAGCTCCTGAATAATCATCACCCACTTCTGGTGGTTTATGTGCATAGTAGGAGATTTGTGTCTCTACTAAGGAGCTAAGACAGTAAATGCCACATTGCAAAGTGAGGTGTGAGATGACCACTCAAGGCTTGTAAAAAGGGGATTATGAAAACCAAGTTTGGGCTGCAATGGTAGAGTGCTTGCTTAGCACATGTGAGGTACAGGTTCAATCCTTAGCACCAGATAAAAATAAAATAAAAGCATTCTGTTCATCTACAACTACAAAAAGAAACTGAGCTTGCAATTGTCAATTGTCCCACCCACCTTGAGTAAAGGTCCAGAAAATCTGCTTAATGGAGAGGAAACTTTGGAGAGAATTTTTTTTGGGGGGTTGTGCGGTACCAGGGATTGAACTCAGGGGTACTCGACCACTGAACCACATCCCTAGAACTATTTTGAATTTTATTAGAGACATAGTCTCACTGAGTTGCTTAGGGCCTTGCTTTTGCTGAAGCTGGCTTTGAAATAGAAATCTTCCTGCCTCAGCCTCCAGAGTTGCTGGGATTACAGGTATGCATCATCACACCTGGTTCTTTGGAAGGAATTATTAGTGTGCTTTAAGTCCCACCTCCAGTTCAGTTCAAGATGAAAAGCCTTCAAGGAAATAACTTGGAAGATTAATGTAATTAACATGTTTAGAGGACACAGAATACTACTACCTCACTCACCCCCAGAAAATCTAAAATCTAAAGAGTGAGAACAATTAACTATGTGCTCTATGGCAGAGCAAGATGAAGTAACAGCGGTGAGACGACCTGTGCTCCCATAGGTTTTCTGGGTAAGGGATGCATGGATGCTTCTCACAGACTAGATATAGGCCATCTCAGAGGGAGAATTGGTTGAGTTTCTTAATGTTAATTGTGAGATCACTGAAAGTTTGAAGAGACCTCAGTAGAAGGAAGCAGGGGATATGCTGCCAATGCCTAGGAATTTGGAATTAGAAGGAAGAGATATGAGGTAAATTTTCTTCATCTTGATTTTGGAGGTTGTTATATGTGTATACATTTGTCAAAACTGATCAATCTGTATATTTTATTTTATGTAAACTATACCTCAATAAATTTGAGTTTTTAATGCCCCAGATTTTTAAAGGAGTTATGACAACTAGAGAAGCTAAATTTACCCATATTAAAGTAACTAAAAATAGAAAAACATCACCACCAATAGGGAGAGGATCTCTAAAGAACCTACAATAACAGAGTAGAAGTGATTTTATAGTTATCCCTCACCTCACAAATCCTATATAAAGGTTCTACTTACACATATACAGATTTACAATTTGATAATTACATATAGATATTAGCAACCATTTGAGTTACTGTCTCAGGCCCCTATGTTCAAAGCACAATTTGGGTATAGAACTTTCCAGGTTCTTTCATTCCGTTCAGCCTTATTACATACAACAAGTAGTTACTGACATCTGTCATCATTTAGGCATTGTTCTAGGAGCTGTAGATACAGTGAAGGATTTAAAAAAAAAAAAAGAGTTTCTATTACCATGGAGTTCACATTCTAGTAGGAGAGACAATAACCAAGTAAACATGATCATCCAGCTAATGTCCTAGTTCATTTTCTGTAGCTGATAACATAATACCAGACTGGTAAGCAGTTTTTTTTTTCTTTTTTTTTTAAGGTTTATTTTAGCTCACCATTCTGGTCTAAAGTCAAGGGGCCACATCCCATGATGGCCTTCTCACTGGCAGAGTCCAGAGGCAGCACAAGGCATTATGTGGATATGGACAGGGAATACTGGAGTAACCTAGTCAAACCAGCTTTTATAGAAGATCCATTCTTGGGATAACCCATTAACCCATTAATCATATGAATGGCTTGATCCATTCATGGATGCAGAGCTCTAATCTTAAAGGTCCCAACTTTTATTTATTTTTTTAGTACTAGGTATTAAACCAAAGGGCACTTTACCACTGAGCCACATCTCCAGCCTTTTTAAAATTATTTTGAGACAGGATCTCACTAAGTTACCTAGAGCCTCACTAAGATGCTGATGCTGGCTTTGAACCTGCTATTTTCCTACCTCAGCCTTCCAAGCCATGGGGAAGGTCTCAAGTCTTAATATCTCATAAGGGGCTTTAAATTTCAACATAAATTCTGGAGGGGACAAACCATATTCAACCTTAGCAGATAGTAAGTGCTCTGAAGATAAACACAACAGCTATTCTTTTATTTTAAATATTTATTTTTTAGTTGTAGTTGGATACAATACCTTTATTTTTACGTGGTGCTGAGGATCGAACCCAGGGCCTCGCATGTGCTAGGCGGGCACACTACCGCTGAGCCCCAGCCCCAGCCCACAATAGCTACTCTTAACAGTGACAAACTATGTGGGAGAAGGGTAACTACTTTATATTTAGTAGTCAGAGAGGGTTGTTCTGAGAAAATGACATATAAAATGAGACCTAAATGACTACAAAAGTCTGAAGAAGCTGGACAACAGTAATCGGAAGGTTGAAGCAGGAGGAATGCAAATTCAAGACCAGCCTCAGCAATTTAGTGAGGCTCAAAATAAAAAATAAAAAATGGCTAGGCATATGGCAGAGTAATTAAGGACTTCTGGGTTCAATCACCATGCCCCCCCAACAAATAATTGATGAAAAGGCAATCCAGAGTATATAGTTAAAGTCCTTCATTTAGAAGTAAGCTTTGTGTATATAAAAAAGAAAGAAGCCCAATGTAAATGAAATGCAGTGAGTG